TGTAATATAATATATATTTGTCTAAAGGCAGTTTTGACGACGTTTTCAAGTACAACTAGGCAGTTTTGACGACTGTTAACAGTTTTCATAACTATCATCTAAGACATCGCGGTATAAAAATAATTTTAACGATTGTCGTCATATTTACTTTTATGGTTTATATACAGTGTCCGGCAAAAAAAAAAGCTACCTCATTTATCTATAAGACTGGTTTGCTTTATAAAGATAAAAAAAGATGTTATAGGTTTTTTATAATTGAAATTTTTTAAGAATTTATTAATTGTTTTTTAATAAAAAGAAATCAAGTAAATATTATAATTATTATAAAAATTATAAATATAATAATATTATCAATATTATAATAAAATTAAAATATATACATATAATAATATTGTATTATAAAGAAATTAAAATCTATGATCTTAACTTGCTTTTTTATTTTGTCATTCTTAAATATACGATTGTTTAGATGACAAAATAAAAAAGCAAGTTAAGATCATATATTTTAATTTCTTTATAATACAATATTATTATATGTATATATTTTAATTTTATTATAATATTGATAATATTATTATATTTATAATTTTTATAATAATTATAATATTTACTTATAATATATTTTAATTTAAAGAAATAATATTTTAATTAATACTTAATATGATTTTCTTAAACCTCAATAACTTTCTGCAGTCTTAGTATGCTTTCATCAATTATTTCAAATTTTTCAAATGTAATGTGAATCCAGATTTTTATTTTGTCATTCTGAAAAATATACGATTATATAGAAATAAATATAATAATAAAAAATGATTTATATTTAATTGAACACTTTTAATTAGTTAATACATTTTCAATTTTAGTTATAAAAAAGCTACAACATATTTCTTTCACCTTAAAAAGCAAACCATTTTATAGATGAGATGGTTTTTTATTTTGTGTCGGTTTCTGTATATAGCCAGAAGTAGATATGACCGTCGTTAAAACTGCCTTTATACTGCGATGTCTTTGACGACGGTCGCGAAAACTGCCAACAGTTGTCAAAACTGCCCATTATACTTGAAAACGTCGTTAAAAATGCCTTTAGACATATATATTTTATATTATATATATATTATATATATATATATAAAAATACTCTTTCTCTCTCTCTCTTTCTTCTCTGCACAAATTACAGGAATCTAAACATTACATCTGTATACTACAATATATGTAATAAAACAATTAAATCCAATTATATTAGTATACAAACTAATGTTCTGCGTAAAAAAAATTAAATCAGACTTATATGCTAAAAATTTCAAATTTTTCTTACGCATTATGCTATTATTTTGCATATATAATTTTGATATAATTTTTTCTTAAGCACGCATTAGTATTTGAAATAATACTGTTTGATTCAACTTATTTATAAACAGTTTGTGAAAATATAAAGGAAGGAGCACTATACAGGCGGTATAAAGTTGTTATGACGACGTCGTTGAAGCAACCATTACATCGCAGAAATTATAAACCTGTCGTCCAAACTGCCATATTATGAAAGAAGTAGTCAAACTGCCATATAAAAGAAGTAGTCAAAACTGCCGTTCTATAACTTTTTTTAATTTTAAATCCAAACTATACAATATAAAAGAAACACTGTACCAAACTGTTCTAGAGTAATTATTACACGTATGTAGACATAAAAAAAAACAAACGTCAAAACTGCCTTAATACATATATATATATATATATATATATAGGGGCAAATGGGGGAATTGCAGTCAGTATAAATTATTTTTTATTTTCAGAAAAAAAATATCTTTAGAAGAACCAAAATGAAATAGTTGACGGATACTTCATCAATCATTCTTCGAAAGTGGAAGCATAAAAGTTAAGAAAGGTAATATATAATATATATATATATATATATAGAGAGATTGGGGAATTGCAGTCAATAGAATTATTTATTTTCAGAAAAAAAATGTCTTCAGAACCAAAATGGAATAGTTGACGGATACTTCATCAATCATTCTTTGAAGATGGAAGCATAAAAGTTAAGAAAGCTATATATAATTGAGCCTGCATTGATTAAAAAAATCTATAAATTGACCACAATTGACCGACGTGTTGGGTAATTACGGTCGCCTCTTGGGGTAATGCCAGCTGGTCGCTAGCAGGCAGAATTCGGTGGTATATTTTGATTACGAGATTGAAATCCATAGAACCAATCTACGCCAGCACACTTTTTTTTTATTAAAATTATTGGGGATGTTGTGACGTTCAGCAAACTCAAATGCTGCACAGCGCACTTGAAGAGGTGTCTGTCTGTCTCTCTCTCTCTCTCTCTCTCTCTCTCTCTATATATATATATATAGTTAAAATTAGATAAGTGAGCTTAAATAAGATTATGTTTTTATTAATTCACATGGTTTATATATACAAGTAAAAATGTTTGCACATATAACGTTTAAATATATAATATTGTATAAAACACACGTGTATATATATATATATATATATATATATATATATACGTGTGTTTTATATTTATAATAATTGAATAAAGACATTTTAGGCTCACTCACCTCAAATTAGATGTAAGACAGAAGTTGCATTTTTTTAAATTAAAGGCTGTGTAATAAAATAGATAAATACTACAAATACGAATTTATTTTATTGTTGCCGTTTAGAGGTAGTATCAGTACTAGATGCTCAACCATTTTATTGTTATCATTTGAAAGTTTAATTGTTAGCACATAAGTCTAAATGATGTAAAACGTACATATAATGAATAAATAAATATATTATTATTTATTATATATATATGTTTTTTTTTTTTTTTTAAATTTAATTTAAACGTTATTTTTAAGCAATTATTTTAAGGCAATTCTAAAATCATTATAACGTCATACTATTGTCATCTAATGACGCAATTTTATTGTCATCTGATGACATCATACTGTTGTCATCTGATGACGTCATTTATGCTGTGACAAATGGCCGTCAGTATAGGGTTATTTGTACGTCATACTGACCGTCAGTTTGACGTAAGTTCTGACAAAAACGTACGTAAAAAAGACGTCTCATTGACGACGTTGTGCTACCTGGGATATATTATATCTATCTTCACAAAAATTCTATCAATAAACGTAATTAACTTGATACTTTTAACAAATGTATATATCGAGTACAGTATACCTAAAAGTTACCACAATCAAATAAATCAGTATAATTTTCTTATACGATACACATTTTAAAATAATCAAAGGAATAAAAAAAATATCCAAAAATAGACAAATTTTAGAGAGTTGACTTTGGACGGTATTTATAGTCCAAGCTTAAACATCGTCTTAAGATTTTCTTGATTAAGATAGTCTTGTTTGTAAGTATGACTTGAGACTTCATGTATTCATAGTTTTAATTAAAATGAGACGATCTTCATAAAAAATAAACACTTCTTGTTATTTAAGATTTTTTTACTGAATTTAGTGCTTAAGATGATCTGATTTACTTTCAGTAATCTTTGGGATTTTTCTGATGTATCAGCGAATGAAATATGTTTAAATATAGAAAATTTAACAAGATGTATGTCTATACCATTTATTTATGTTATCAAATTATTACAGACTCTAAAGTATTGTTAGAAAGTAATTTTACTGTAAAAAAAAATATCAAGCAAAAAAAAACATTATATAGATCCCGAAAAGAATTCTTTCTTAAAATTTTAACAAAATATTCTCCTTGAAAAAAAGTGATGCTACAACTTTGAAACAAGAAGCATGGAATCAAACTTCCGATTCATATATCTATTGTAATAAAGTAAAAATCTATATATTTTTTCTAATTAGGTATGTTAAATGCTTGAAATAAAAATGTTATTTATATCTGAAGAAATCTAATATATTTGCGGTAGATAGTTTCATTTTTAAGCTAGATTTTAAATATTTTTTATATTCAAAGTAATTTAATTTTTAACATTTTAATGTGTAATAAATTATTACAGAGAAGCGTTCAATTTAGAAAATTATGGAGTAATTTAAATCAGTACAGAGAGATATCCTTACGCAGGAAAACATGCACGTTTATCAACAGGTGGTGGACCTGAACCTAAATCTGCAAAGATTGACCACGGACATTGCCGCAATAGCACCCAATTTAATGACAATTGCACCAACATTATTTTCATCAAATTTATCAGATAAAATACTAAAAGGTACTTTCATCTTTATTTTATTTATTTATATTATATAAAAATTGAAAAATAGTAACAATGAATATTTTTCAGAACGACAACAAAGAATATTAATGATTTGTATTCCTGAGGAATTAATTGAAAATGTGGAGAGCATAGACTTTTTGATGATGATTTCCAGGAAGTTAATAATGATTCTATTATCACACTTCCTACAAATGATAAAATAATTAATTTTATTGATATTTTCTATTAACATATTTGTTTTATGAATAAGAATTTAGAATTTTTGAATGTTACAGACTCAAGCAGTAATGAAACTGATGATGCTGAAAAAGAAAATAATCCAGTAAATGAAATAATTAAAAATAATAATAAAGATAAATTTTATTAATATATTTATTTTTAGACACCCCCTCTCTCTCTCTCTCTCTCTCTCTCTCTGTGGTGTGTGTGTGTTTGCGTAGTATCTTAAGCATATTTAACAATTTGTTTTTGTACTGGTGGAATCGGCAGACCACGATTGTTAATTTTTGCTAAAATCCTTCTTCAATTTTTCGTAATATTCCATATAGGAGGAATCCTTATTAATCTATAGCGTCTTTTAAATTGTAAATTATTATAAGGGTTTTAAAAAGTCCATCACGAATGTATCATTTTCGTACACGATCTCTCTACTTGAAAATCACGATCAATTAATATTTTTTCAATATCATCAATTTCTTTTCCATTATATATAATTCCATAATATTTAATAATAAAGGCGGGAGCACAGACTTTTGCATAACGCATAAGGCATAAAGCATAAGAAATAAACCAATGAGAGTCCTTCATTTCTATCCCCACTTCTCATTCTGCGGATCTTGCATAGTGCACAAAACATGATGCATAAAGAGTCGAAAAATCCGTAAGGACGAACTTTTATGCGTTATGCAAACAGATACGCGTCTAGATTGTATATTATCATCTCCATCATATTGTGTTCCAGTTTCTAACCTATTCTTTTTTTTACAATACATGTTGTAAGTACTGCATTATTAATAATTATATATATAATTGGATATTTATATTTTATTACATTACAATCAATATTTTATATCGATAGGAAAATGGATCATAAGACATACTGTTTTGATTCTCAATATCAAACTGAATCTTACTACGGACAGATGCAATGTGATTCTGAAAATGAACATAAAAATGAAAATTTTTGTGAAATAGAGAACGAAATAAATGAAAACGAAATAGATGGAGATGCTTTACTTATAGCTTTAGTACATGACCATCCCTATTTATATAATAAAGAATTAACTGACTTTAAAGATCAGTTGAAAAAGCTGAATGCCTGGAGTGAAATTGCAATCGTTTTGAACATGACAGGTATTTATGTAGTATTTTTCTAATTTCAACTTATTCTTTATTTTAACAATTTTTGTAAGAAATTAATTTTTCATTAGTTACTTTGTGTGAATATTAAACTTATGAAGTAATTGAAATAAATTGTAATGTTAATTTAAACTAATGACAGACAGTATAATTTTTCATGTTAGATTGCAAACTAGTAAACAATTTGCTAGAAATGTAGCATGCAGCATTTTTAACAAGCTAGATTGCATGCGATCTAGCATGAAAATTGTACCGCATGCTGCTAAATTTAATGTAATTTTTGTTGCTAGCGGATGAGTGCCAATCTAGATGGACACGCTTACGTGAAAGATATACAAGAGAGAAAAAGCAAAGACAAGAAGAGACAACCACTGGAAGTGGAGCCTCAAAAAGGAAAACTTTCGAATTTTTCAATAACATGCAATTTTTGGATCCATTCGTTAAGAAAAGAAGGTATAGTAAAATTGTGAAGAAATTAGAATAATCAAGATTTCTTTTTTATATATTATCTTCTTAAAACTCTTTGTACTGCAAAAAAGCAATTTTGATATTTTGTTTCAGAACAATGACCAACGTGCATGCAGTGACCAAAAACTCTCCATTGACTAAACGGTACATTTCTTTTCAAAAGTATGTAAAATATAAACATAATATTCATATAAATTATTCATATAATTAAAAGTGCTTCTACTTGCAAATTAGTAATGAAATCTCTATTTTCTATTTTTAGAAACTTTAGCTCCAATAACGAAAAGAAAATCTCCCTTTGAATGCAAGTATCTTGATTGAGCAGAATTCTTCAAAAGTTAATATAGAATCATTAGAACACAATCGATTTAATTCAAACTCAAGTGGCAGAAATGAAGTGAACATATCTTCTACAGCTACTTTAAGTGAACAGTCTTTTACAGATATAAATCAGCACATCTAAGGTACATTTTTCACAAGCATTTTTATTTGTAGCATTTTCATGTTGTAAAAATTTTGTTTTGTTTGAAAAAATTTATAATTTTAGAGACTCAACTTCACTTTTATACAAATCAAGCGACGCGGTAGCCTCACCATACCAGTCTGATGCTTCTTCAGTCTCAGTATTAGTGCCTGTGATTATGCGACAAAGAAAGGTTTAAATAGTAAAATAAATCAAAAGGAAAATCGCAGCCGGATGTTGCAAATGCAATTTCCAAAGTCACATCTTTGCTAGAGAATAAATACTCTTCACCTGTTTCAACTGTTTCGTCATCTTTAAAACCGGAAGTAGAAGAAGATGTGGCTTTCTGTCAATTAATACTTTCTTCACTTACAAAGATGCAGGGGTGTAAAAAAGAAAAAAGAAGGATATATTGCGCATTATATACGATATTTAAAATAATCGAAGTTCTTAAAAACTGATACAATTCTGAGAACTGCCTTGTGAGAATTGTCTTGTCATATTTCTGTTTTTGATTTTAATTTTTTGTTTTGTTCAGAGTTTCAATAATATAAAATGTATTAACGTAAATCTATTTAAGTTAATTTATCAGTTTAATTTTTATCTTGTTTATTATTTAGAGTTCAGAGTTTAAATATAAATAACTTCGAAAATTATTTAAAAACTTAGAAAAATTCGAAAGTTAAAAAATATATTAAAATAATATAAAATATACATTAATAGAAATAATCCTATAAAAACATAAAAATGAAAAGGTCAGGCCATGTTCAAAAGAAGGCACTCAAAAATTTATAACATCTAATAAAATTATCACGAAAAGTACTGATATGTTATTCAAGGTGTCCAGTTTCAAAGTTGACATACGTAAGTGTATTTACTAAATTTAGTAATAATATATTACCATGAAAATAACGTGATAATTTATTGTGCAACTTTCGATGGTATAAATAAATAATTGGAAATAAGAGTTTGTGTAAATTGTATAAAATTAAAAGTCCAATCTTTGCTTTATTAAAACGGTAAGTAAAACGGTAGTAACCGGGGTGTATCTTAAAAGTAAAATTATAAATGTACAGTTCTCAGGTCAACTACAATAAAGTTATACGCTTAAAAAAGTTTACTGATTATTTGTCGTAATATACAATAAAAATTACATATTAATTATTCAAGATACAAGTGAGAAATAAATATCATTAAAATATACAAAAAAAATTTATCAATTTGACTCTGAAAAGTAAGTGACATGTTCTTAGTGCAAGGTTTCATTGACTTACAATTTTTTCTTCAGAAACACAGAAGAAAAAGGTATTTGTATATAGTTTTGTATATTCACTTTGTTGTGTGTAGAGCTTTTAAAAATACGTTGAATCCTTATTCTAATCTAATCTTCTTCTAATGTAATACTTTTCGTATCTCAAATGTTGTAGTAATTATTCTGTAAGAGCTTTGACATTATTTCTAAATGGACATCGAGAAACATCATAGTTTTTTGAGAGCAGGCCGCCATGTTATTTTTCTGAGTAATTAACAAATTGGTACTCTGGAATTACGAGCAATTATTTTTCATTGTACGGGCTAGTATGAATTTCAAATCAAATCTCTATAAACGACTATTATATTTTGTGCACTAAGAATAACATATCGCACTTATTTTCTAGAATCAAATTGTAATCAGTTTTACTTATATGTATGTATGTTCAATGTGAACTTGCACCTTGAATAAAATATCACAGTTATTTTTCATGGTAATATATTATTACTAAATTTAGATAATATACACTTTACGTATGTTCACTTTGAACTGGCACCTTGAATAACATATCAGTTACTTTTCGTGATAATTTATTATTAGATCGTTTAAATTTTTGAGTGCCTTCTTTTGAACATGGCCTGACCTTTTCATTTTTATGATTTTTTTAGGATATCACTTACTTTTTAAAGTACAGATATATAGAGCAGCTTTCTATAATAGTAATTCATGTATAAATTAATAGTAATTCAAGTATCACAAATATATGTATTTTCGATTCTTATCACATAACTTTGTATAAGTAACAATTTATGCAATACAGTTCAAAATAATTGAAATATATGGTATATATGTACATATATAAAATATATAATTATATTATAGTATACATATATATTTTATTTAATCATATATGTAAATGTTTGTATAATTGTAATAACTTTTAACGATACATTGCACATTTATTTCAATTGCAACAGAATGAATTTATATTCTTGTATGAATATTGAAAATAAAGAATGGGCCCCTCCATCGCCCATTCTCGTGAGAACGCAACCATATATTTTTCTTCGTCTCTCCGATTTTAACACGACATACATATTTATGTCTGATAATTTTTTTCTTGATGATACTTTTTGAAATGTCATGAAGCCTAGGTCAAATTAGAAACTTATTGCACTCGTTTTAACGCAGCGCTTACAGCAGCTTTTATAAAGCGCCAGAGCAGCCGATATTTTATTTTGGCGCTTACGGCAACTTTTATACAGCGCTAGAACAGTTGATGTTTTAATGTAGCGTTTACGGCAGCCTTTATACAGCGCCAGAGCAGCCGATGTTTATTTCGGCGCTTACGGCAGCCTTTATACAGCGCCAGAGCAGCCGATGTTTCATTTCGGCGCTTACGGCAGCCTTTATACAGCGCCATTATTTAATCTGTTCTAAGAACAATATGTATGCCCCTTGTGCTCCTTTGGGCCATTTTTTCTTGAACACTTCCATATCATTAGAATAATACCATTCCGATTTTGTGTCAGCTCTCAACATACACGTGTAGTGACCACGATTCATTTCTTCACCTTCGTGAAATATAGCGCTTATTACCTTGTACTTTTTTCATTAATCGTGATATTACTCGTCGGCACGGCGTTAATCCGATTGTTGATAATTTTTTTAGAAGCACCGTTTACAAAAGTATATAAATTGAGCTGTATTACTACGACGGATAAAGTTGATTCGATTACGGTTTTCCTTTTCAACACGGTACCCTTACATTCGTTACAATTGCCGTTTATCGTTTCCCATTTAGAAAATTCTACATTAATCAAACTTTGTAGAGTGACACCTTTTTTCCTTTTTAATGTCGAATGTATAGGTAATATTAGCAAACTACTGCTTTCCAGCTTAGTTACATTGTAATTACATTTGACATTCGAGCAACATGTTACGTGCTTTAATTCGAGTTCTAATACATCATTGATGTCGGAATACGTCGACATTAGAGCCGTAAAAAATTCCGAAACATCTTGTTGTGTTCGTTCTTCGAAGCGTTTTCCGACAGATCTTCTAACCGCTTGAATGTTGCAATATTTACGTTCACCATACGCGCAGATAGCATCAGTCAATGCATTCGATGCTTTATTTTTCAGTATTTGTTGCCTAATACGTACGCAATGAAACGCACATTGTAATATTACATTAGCGTAACACGAAACAGCATCGTTATTGCAAAGGCCATATATTTTCCACGTAACTATACTTTCTGGTTCCTCACAATCATAATTCTGCACATCATCAATGATATTAGGGATAGCCCATCGACGATCGTACATTTTCACAACCTTTTTCTCGGACCGATTGATTTGTGGCAGTTCAGATTTGAATATAGATCTCAGTCGATTATATTCCACAATGGCTCTCGAGTTTGCTTTAACTGATGCTGGATTGAAATTTATCAAATGTAGGCCTTCCAATTTACTTACTCGTGACAAACCTACATAGGCTTGACCATCACTGAATACAGTCGTTCCTAAATCCATCATTGCATTGTTACATGTAATTCCTTGACTTTTGTGTATAGTTATTCCATAACTGAGAGACAATGGAAATTGTTTCCGATGTACCACTAATTTGTGGAATACTTCAAATTTAATATCTACTTTCGTTATTGCGATTTCTTTGTTACCCGAAATAACTATTTTGATGGAATCAATACGATTGCCGTCAGCAGAGCGATTAACTGCAACTACATTGCCTATCGTTCCATTGACAAGTCCCAAAGTTACGTCAATGTTTCGTCGAATCATCACTTTAGCGCCAATTTTAATCGCTATTACTCTTTCAATGCCAGCTGTTTCAGACACTTTATCATCTTTGTCTTCTAAAATTTTATGCACCTTTTTTTTCATTGCTGGAGCACAGTCGACATCATCTTCTGCTATCAGTAGAATTTCATCGCTGTCGATTTTATCGAGCATTGCTGTGTTCAAAACCTTGCACAAATAACACGTGGGCAATAAACAAATTGTATCAATCGGTAATTGATTCATATAAGTGCAAAGTTCATTCAATCTTTCGTCGCAACTACTTTCTTTAAAATTGATTCTTCTAGACTGAAGAACATTGATGTCAGAATCCGTTACTAAACCTATTCGTATTCTAGAAAGTATATCACGATATGTATTATCGCATCTTTGTCGCATATTAATCAAAAGTTCGTCGTACTCGAACAATCTCCACAAATCACATCCACCCATGGTACCTAAATACTTCTGAATCTCTGATCGAGACATTTTAACAAACGAAAATTGTCCTTTTACAGGAGGAAGCTGCAACAAGTCCCCAAACAGGAGAATGTGTTTTCTGCCAAAGAAACCATCATCTGTATCTGTCGTATCAAAGATTTCACATAATCGTAGATTGATAAACATAAGTGTCACATTTGAAATCATGGATACTTCATCGATTATAAATAATTCGACATTCTTTAACTTGTCTCTCAAAGTTTTCAAGACCATGTCTGACAATTGCGTATATTTTGGTGTAGATTCATGACTAACGGGTAGTTGAAACATTCTATGGATTGTCAAGCC